CTATAGGTTGGGGGTCTGGGAGAGCTTTCCAGGTAGGCTTCTCCCTGTGTTTTGTCAGTAACTTGCAAAATTTTGTCGTGAGTCATCTGGAACGGCACCTCACAGGGGCCCTCCTGTTGCTAATCATGTGCAAGGTTGGCGGTGGCACTGTCCACGCGCTGGCCAGCCAGCTGACCTTGCCCCATTATCAGTAGCTGTTCAGGGCTGCTTCCAGCAACCCACAGTGTGCCTTTGGTTCACAAATCCTGTTGTGTCTTACAGAGCTGCAGAAACTGGAGGGCAGCAGTCGACCTGTGTGGACGCCTTCTCACAGCTCATGGCCAAGGCTACGGCAAGAGTGGGCTGCCCACCAGCCACACAGCGGACTCGCTGCAGGTGAGAGCACCTCCGCCACCAGGTCGCTGTGTTGTATTCCGCTTGTCATGGTTTGAGGACATAGGAAAGCCCATGGGCTTTCATGCCAGGAGGAACAATTTGGGAACAAGACAGGGATTTTCGTCTTCTGAGCTTAATCTCTGGGAAATGACTCATGTTCTTCCTTCCCTGGTGGTCTGTGTGTATTAATTCTGCCGTGTGGCCCTGCTGTGCAGTGGCCTCTGCTGCCCAGAGGCCTGATGAGGGTGCTCTGCCCTCGCTCTCCTGGCAGACCAGGCCTGGCCTGAGGTGGGCAGGGGCTTCCGACTGTGATGGAAACCAAGTGGCTCTGAAGGCTTCCCGAGGTGGGGAGTGGGCTCCACAGGCTGTGTGCTCTACCTGGAGCAAGCATCCCTGCTCCGACTAGGGAGAAGGTGGAAAGAATGTCCAGGATGGAGCTGTGGCTGGAAGGGAGCTCCCCAGACCAGAAGGAGCTTTCAGGGTGCTCCAGTTCCCACCCTGCCCTGGGGAGGTGGTTTTGTTTTTTGCAGCACTGGGGCTTGAACCCAGAGCAGCTTTAACACCGAGTGAAGCCATTCCCAGCCCTTTTACTTAAAAAATATAATCTTTTATATGCTTGGAAATAGATAAGAGAATAGAGTTTGTGTTCTCAGAACACAAATATAAAATACTGTGCACAAGTACTTATACGATACATTATTATCAGCCATCCTCAGCCCTTTTTATTTTTTATTTTGAGACAACGTCTCACTAAGTTGCTTAGGGCCTCACTAAATTGCTGAGGCCTCGAATTTGTGATCTTCCTTCCTCAGCATCCTGAGTTGCTGGGATCACAGGACTGTGCCACCATGCCCAGCTGGGAGATTTCAGCTTTAATCCTAACTTTCTTGGGGCTCCCCAGAACTGAGGTTATCACCAGATATTCCAAAGCTGTAACAAGCTTAGGAGAGCAGTAACTGGGGAAGCTGGTGGCCCAGATCTTGCAGGTGGGCTCCTCCCTCCTGGATCTCCCCAGGAGCCCGCAGGCATGGGCTGCGCAGGACAAGCAAGGCCACCTCGGGTGCCCTTGCACCTCCTCACCCCTCTTGGCCCCTCCTCGCCAGCCCAGTCGCGGGCTCTTCCCTCCATGTCTCACACCTGGCACCACCAGCACAGCCCCTCACTGGAACGGTGCCTTGGCCCCTGCACTCACCTCTGTCCCCACACTGCAGTCAGAGTGATCTGAAAGCACATGTAGATGGTCTCACCTTCCTGCTCACAAGCTGTAAGCACTTCCTGCCGCCCCAGGTTAGACAAGCCTCATCATCCTGCAGGCAGCTCCGAGCCTGCAGGCAGAGTAGAGCAGTCACTGTGCTTGCTGTAGACCCTGGGCGGTTGCTTCCTAAGACCTCATTCCTTGGTTTTTAAAGCTTATTTCAGAAAAAGTATATTTAGCTATTTATTTTTAATTGATAAAAAATTGATATATTTAGGATGAATTACCTGCTGTTTTAACATATTCATTGTGGGATGCCCAAGTCAATCTAATTAACATATTCATTATCTCATACATGTGTTTGTGTTTTGAGAACATAATCTACACTCTTACAACACATTGTTATCAAGCGGAGTCCCCATGTTCTGTAATAGACTTAGCTCTTACTCCTCCTAACTGTCCTTTGACAACGTCCCTCATTCCCCATTCAGCCTTTGGTGAATAGCATCCTACTCTGCTTCTATGAATTTAAGTTTAACTTCCACAAACAGATCACACAGTATTTTTCTTCCTATGCCTGGCTTACTTTACTTGAGATAATGTCTTCCAGATTTGTGTATAATTGTCACAAGTAGCAGAATTACTATTTTTTTTTAACTTCAGTAATATTCCATGGAATACATATACCCCGATTCCTTTATTCTCTCATCCATTGATAGACACTAAACCTCATTTTTCTTGTCAGTGAACAGGCAACGACTTGGGTCATCTTTAGGGTTCTTTTAGTTCTGCAATCTCTGCCTCTGTGGCTCTATAATTCAGACCCCACCATTTTCCTACGTGTGTCTCCATTCTGCCACCCTAGAGCTCGCTATGCTCACCTGCATCTGGTACTGTCCACTCTGAGGCCATGGTCACACTGTCCTCTGCAGGCCCCTCCCCATCCTGTGGCCTTGAAGTCCTGGTCCTTCAGTGCTGCCCTCAGCATACCTTTTTATCCACATCATGGCCCTCCCCACCGTCCCCCCCCCAGCCCTACCACTCGGTATCTCCTCTGGGAGGTCTGTGCTTTCATCTCCTGACACCTAGCATATGAGCCCTGCTCAAAAAGCTTGTTAGAGTAATCAAACCTAGTAACATTGTTTACACTAATGTTAGTGAACTCAGGAGTATTTCTATAAACCTGTAAGTATGCAAATTGCAAAGGTAGGAAGTTAGCCCTTGTTTTGATACATTAGAAAACAAGCTCTGATAGCAGGTTAATAAGGAAGAGGACTTTGTGAACTTGATGTGTGAACATAACCTGTCGGTCCATCTTGTCGTGCGTTTTAGCTCTGGTTTGTGAGATTGGCCCTGCTCGTGAAGTTAGGCCTTTTCCAGAATGCCGAAATGGAGTTCGAGCCCTTTGGAAGTCTGGACCAGCCCGACCTGTACTACGAGTACTACCCACACGTGTACCCTGGGCGCAGGGGTAAGACGGCGCACTTGATGTTGGTGCCTTTTCGCGTACTTCACTCTGCTTGGCTGTGCGTAATTGGGTATCCTCCCTTTGCCTGTTCTGTCAGACCTGAAGAGTCAAAGCAATAGCCCAGCCACAAGCCTGAGCCTACAAAGTGATCTCACCCAGTGTTATAAACACACCAACCTAGACAGAACACACCAGTGCGTCCTGGGGTCACTCAGGAGCCATCTGTTGCACCTGCTAGGACCCTGCAGCATGACTGGGTGTTAGGATTGCAAACACTCTCTGCTGCTCTCCACAGGAAAAGCCAATGTCTCGTGGCCTGGTGCTGCATGTGCCTCACTGCCAATGAAGCAAGGCCCATCTTTTCCACTGGGATCTTGCTCTGTTTTCCCCTAGTCTCTATTCCTGGCTTGTTTGTTTGTTTTTAATTAAAAAATTCTTCATTGCTGTAATTGGACATTTAAACCCTTCCACACCACTAGCAGGAACATACAGGGCACACCGACTTTAAAGCCTTTAGCAATTTCCTGGAGGTTCAACAAACACTTGCCATGCAACTTAGCAGCGCCACTGTGCCACCTGTCTGGCTACCAGGCAGCCTGGGGGCAGGGCCCGTCTATTCCTGTTTATTTTAAAGCTCTGGTGCTGGTGCCATTCCATGGAGAGATCCCAGGCAGGACCCTTGTTTGAAAAGTAGCTTAGGCTGGAAGAAGGAAAAGGGAGCTGCAGGGAGCCAGTGTCCTCCAAGTGGGGCCTCCCAGAGGGACCCTGCATCCCCAGCACACCCGATGACCTTCCTGGGAATGTGCCTGCTGCAAGCAGCAGGAGCAGTGACCGGAGGCTGGGCAGCAGGAAGGTGCCATCATGGGGAACAGGCCTTACAGTCCTCTCCCTGTGGCCCACAGTTCTCTTTCTCTGCAAGTAGGTCCCATGTGCACCCGCCCTGAAGCTCGTCCACTCCATGTGTAATTTCCACTACTCCTCCCTGCCCTCACAGAGCAACAGCCATCTCTGGGGTTCTAGGACACTGTCCCAGCATGTGACTTGACTGGCCTCCCCGGTGCTGCCTTCTTCCTTTCTCATTCACACCCTCTAACCATTTGAGGCTCATCTTTAACTTTAGGGTGATTGCAAACTGCCAGCCCAAAAGAGGAATGAGCCTTTGTCCCGTCGAGTGGTTCTGACAGAAAATGAGCCTTAGTCCCGTGGAGTGGTTGTGACAGGCGGTGCTGGAACGCTTAAGGGCAGGGCTACGTGGGAAAGTGGCGCCGTTCCTCTAGAGTCGGCCTTGCCTGCAGTGCTGCCAGCGGGCAGCGGTTCTGCCTTTTCTCAGGAGGAACATCTGTTTTCCTTCAGCGATGAAAAAAATGTTTCTCCAGTCTGCCTGGTTGCTCCCAGCCCTGTCCCTGCCCGCTCCTCTGCTTCTCTGTGCCTTGCTGGGAGTTGGCAGCTGGTTTCGATGGTGATTTGTCTGCTACCAACCAAGCTCAGAGCTTGGAGCATGCAGCCCCCCCCTTCACGGTGCTGAGCTCCAAGGCACCCTAATGCTGCGGCTGCGAGAAGTCTGGGCTCTTGTCCTTCAGGCCCAGTGATGTAGGTTCACAGCGACTGCTTACAGCAGCTGCCCGAGCCCAGGACAGGTGTTTAAGAGGAGTGGACAGACTCCCTGGGAGGTCTACCCCCACTGTCAATAGCCCTGCTTCCTGAGTGCCCGGGGTCACCTGGGTGCTCTCTTCTGCGTCCTGAGAAGGGTTGTACTCTTGGCTGTCTTCACAGAGCATTTGGGGGAGGGGACAGGGCTTCCTGTGAGAAAAGCCTCTCACTGAGGCCATTCTGTCCTAGGGTGTGCAGCCTCGGGGCCACTTCCCACTCGGCTGGGGTTGAACTGCTGGGGGTGTGGATAAGGAGAAGCCAGTGACTGTGCATCACAGAGCAGCTAATTCCAGTTCCAAAGGAGAAATATGTCACGTGAGCTAACGTGTATAACATTCATCCACAATATTACATGGAATGCTTACTAATTTTTCTTTTCATTTGGTGGAGTACCAAGCATAAATGTAAGAATTTGATTCATTCATTTCATTTTAGCTTGCAATATATAAGCAAAGTGAGTCATTAAAATATGCTTTAAAAAGGAGATTATAGCAATACAAACAAATAAATAACCTTTATGAATGAGCTTTAATATATTTCATTTAAATATTGGACTAATTTTTAGTCATTCAGAACATTCATAAAAAGACATGTGATGAATCATGTGTAAAAATCATGAAGTCGTTGTTTTCACCTAAGAAAGGAACAGAATTTCTGACATTTCCATCAGTCACACTCTGTCCCTTGAAACACAGTTAGATTTTTCCTGGCTCCCAGCACTGATGTCTGGCCTGCCATCTGGAAGAGTCATGGGGACATGAGGCAGGCCAGCTTCAGAGCCCAGGGCTGAGGTCTGGAGGTTTGGGGGACCCGAGAGCCACAGGATGTGAGGGCCACCTGGCCTGGTGCTCTGCCAGCTACCTTGTCCTTTCCCTTCTTCACTCTCTACCCCTTTCTTCTGGTTCTGCTCCTCACTGTCCTCGTGGATCATGCTCTCATGCTGCCTGGGTGTCCCCAGGGCTCAGGAACCATGTGTCGACCCGGAGCAGCTGTTCACAGTGCACACGCTCTCTGCCAGATGGGATACAGCAGTTAGGAGGTCGTGCGAATCCCACTGTGTGCATCTGCTGGGTCCCCACAGTGCCCCCTAAAGATAGTACAGTTTCAGTTACTCAGACCTGACTCATCTACACTCCAGTCTGTGACCATCATGTGCTCAGGAAGGTCCATGCATGGGCATTGGCCATGCAGGTAGAGGATGTCAAAACCAGAAAAAAAAAAAAAACAGTTTGGATTAACTTGCTGTGAGCCACTCTCATCTCAAGAAACTGGACTTGAGCTGCACAGTGATCCCACGAGCCGTGTTCTGGGGGCAGAGGAGCAGACAGGTGTTCCTTGGCTGTCTTCCTGTCACCGACCTTGGACTCCAGAAGGGGCCCTTGAGAGTCTGCTTGTGGTGCACATAGTTCTATCCAACGTGCCTGCACCACTGCTCCCCACAACGCTTGTGCCCAAGTCTGCTTGACTGTGATAGCGTTTTCACTAAACGCTGTTTACTTTCATTCTATTCCACCCCTTAGGTCCCTTTGAGAAGCCCTGATTGGGGATATCCCTGTCTGAATTCACTCTATATTCAACAACATTTGAAACTTTCTAAAATGTAAACATTAAACAAAGACACTAGCTCTTTCATGATTGCTCCAGACTTCATCTGTCTTGTACTTGATGTCCTCTTAGTTGGACTGGATGTACTTTGTGTTGACAAACAGTAAGTTTTAGAAGGGCATTGTGGGGCTTCTGTGATCCTGTTCCTCCTAAATGTTTTCCTATGGTCTTAAGGTTTTTTGGGAGGGTGGGGGTACTGGGGATTGAACTCAGGGGCACTCAACCACTGAGCCACATCTCCAGCTTCCCCCCCCCCCTTTTTGTAATTTATTTAGAGAGAGGGTCTCACTGAGTTGCTTAGCACCTTGATTTTGCTGAGGCTGGCTTCGAACTCGTGATTCTCCTGTCTCAGCCTCCTAAGCTGGGATTATCACGCCCAGCCAGTCTTAAGATTCTTAACCAAGCATTTTTCTTCATGCATTTTTTTTTCAACAATGAGAGTGTTTAGGGAAGGGTTTCTTTGCAGTGAGCGAGTGACCCAGCTTCCCCATCCGGTGTGGTTCCACACCATCAGCACCACTCCGAGGCTCTCCAGGAAGCCTTTGGAAGCCGCTTGCAGAGGAGACTTCTTGGTTAGCCTCTGGTGAACTCCACCCAGCCTCTAATCACTTATACTTTGTTCTAGTAAGCTTTTGTGTCTCTGTGACCAAAAGACCTAACAAGAACTACTTAGAGGAAGGAAGGTTTATTTGGGCTCACGGTCCAGAGTTTTTCTGTAAAAACGGATGTGCCCATTGGCATACCATCCTTGAGCCTCTCCCCATTCACCCCTCCCGAAAGCCATCACAACCATGAGCCTGTCACGTATCCTTCCTGATCATGTCTTTGTATGTCCACTCCGCATGTGCATGTGTGGACACAGAGATCCAAACACGTGTAGAGAGCGAGCAAGAGTGTGTGCCTCTATGTGTGAGATTTGCTTTTTAAATACTCATCATGAGTGTGTTGTCTTAGTTTTGCTTTTTTCCCAAACAGCATATCCATGCACTTCCACAGCCGCACCGCGCACATTAGGGTCTTTCCAGAAGACTGAGCACCCTGCCTCTGAGTTTCTGAGGTCTAAATAGCCGCAGCCTTGTCTCCAAGCAGCAGGTTGTCTCCAGGGCCACTTTCCACCTGCACAGCAGTGCACGAGGGCTGTGACCACTGCCAGGGCGTGCAGGCCCCCTGCTGGACTGACCACAGCCAGGGCAGCCCCGCATCCTCGGGCTCTCCTCCTCAGGCTCACTCTCAATGCCTCCGTCACTAGTTGAGGTTTATTTCTGTGTTCTAGGTATTTGATCCTTTGTCACATATTTTAGGAATATCTCCTCCTATTCTGGAAAATCTTATTTCTAAACCTGAGAAAAGAGAATCTGATTTAAATTCATCAAGATAACATTTTTTTATTTGTAGTTAGCACATTTTAGGGAGCTCCTGCCACATAGGGTTGTGCCAGGAGCAAGTGCAGACAGATTCTGCGCTGGCCTGGGCCTGGGCCAGGTCCTGAGACACAGGACCAAAGACGTTGCCAGACACAACCCAGGGCTGCCCTGTACTGTGGCCTAGTCATCTGCAAGCAGGGGCACCGTGTGGGGAGCAGGAGTGGTGCGTCCTCCCCAGGGACAGAGCACCTGGGTGGCCACACAGAAACCCCTATGCTCACCTGCATAGGTGTGCCTTCCCAGCATGCTGTGGCTCTCTAATGGAAGTGAAGTGGACACATAGGCCATCACGTTTCATGACTCCAGACACATTAGCTGAATTAGGCATTAGATGGTAAGTACTTGCTGTAGGATTTTTTCTCTTCAACTTTCTCAGTAGGTTTTTCCTACTTAGAAATACAGCCCCGAGTGGAAGGTGACTTGTGGGTTGTGAGTGTGGCACTCTTGTTGGATGGACACACATACAATGCGTTTCCCTGCCGAGTGTAGCCAAAGGAGGGAAGCTGAAGGCACAGCTTTCCCTGGGCTGCCCCCCCAGCCCAGTGGGGAGGAGATGGAGACAGGGAAGGCAGTGCTGAGCAGTGGCCCATTCAGACTCCTGAGGTGGTGCCCAGAGCTGACCTGCCACAGCTGGGCAAAGAATTCAATGGGCTCCTTGCAGGTGCCAGCCCGCAGTGGTGCCAAGTGCTGTGGGTTGGCGTCTGTCCAGCCACTCTGCAACCTCCTGTCCTTGTCGCAGAGAGGATGCAGCTGTCCAGCGCAGATAGCTGGTGAGGGAGGGGCTCAACACTGCTGGCCGCCCTGCCACCCAACCACGGCCCCTCGAGTCGGCAGACTTCCCCTCTCCCTGCCCACCATAGCCTGGCTGAGTTCTGTGCATGTCCTCTAGCTTTCTGCAGTGGCAGGCAGCATGGGTTTTGAGTACTGCAGGGGGTGGTCTGAAATGAATTTTGACGGAGTATTTTCATTTAATGGTTTCTAAATGATTAACAAGAATGTTTCTACTATATTTATACCAACTTCAATTTTGGCAGGTCAAGACTAGATGTGAGAATCTTTCACAAACGGATCCATGGAATCAAGTTTCCTTGGAGATTCTGACTGGCCTTTTCCTACCCGAGCACATTTCCTTGCAGGAGAGAGGCAGGCCCAAGGGTTGGTGTGGCAGCCTCATATACGTATGTCACTTGACAGCCACCCTTAGCATGAAGGATGTCGCTGAGACTTCCGGTAGCTTTTCAGTGACAGGCAGGCTCAGCATCAGGGTGAAGGGACTGTTATGTGCATTTCCTGGAATAAAGGTCTGGTGACATGGCAGCAGTGACCTGTGCCTGCTATCACAGGGGTGGTGGTGGGTTGTGTCCAGGGCCTGGCGTGTGTTTGCCCTCAGAGCGTGACAGAGGCGTGTCTGCGTTCCTCACAGATCCACCTGTCCACTGGAGCTGAGAGGCAGGCTCCAGCTGCTGTGCTCTGGTCTAACTCGGTGACCACATCTTCTCCTAGAAGGGGTGTTCCCTTCGTTCTTCTCCTTCTGTTGGCCTCTGTCCATCCTTCAAGATGTCACCTGTGTCAGGCATGTGGTCCTCCCTGCCTCCATCTCAGGGGTAGTGGTGAGGGGCTGGCACTGGAGGATGTCTGGTCACACAAAATGGGGACAGTGTGTGGGAACAGTGCTCCTGATGAGGATGTGCCATCCCCTTCCTGCCACAGAAGAGCCCCAGCCCTGGGCTGCATTTCTGTCAAGACCAGTGGCTGACGCCTGAGTGGGGGCATGGTCACCATGCATGGAACGAGGGTGCCCAGAGGTTCTGTGGAGGGACACTGACATTTTTTAAATAACATGTTAAATATTTTCTTTTCAAAAACATGTTAAGATTTAAATCTAGTGATTAGTGCTCTATCTGATGTGTGAGGGGTAAAGATCTGCTCCCAGGATGTAGGCTCTCTGTTCACCTCACAGATTGTTTCCTTTGCTGAGAAGAAGCTTTTTAGGTTGAGTCCATCCCATTTATTGATTCTTGATGTTAATTCTTATGCCTCAAGAGTTTTATTAAGGAAGTTGGGGCCTAGTCCCACATGATGGAGATTAGGGCCTACTTTTTCTTCTATTAAACGCAGGATCTCTGGTTGTATTCCTAAGTCCTTGGTCCATTTTGAGTTGAGTTTTGTGCATGGTGAGAGATAGGGGTTTAATCTCATTTTGTTGCACATGGATTTCCAGTTTTCCCAGCACCAATTGTTGAAGAGGCTATCTTTTCTTCAATGCATGTTTTTGTCACCTTTGTCTAATAAAAGACAATTGTAGTTGTGTGGGTTAGTCTCTGTGTCCTCTATTCTGTACCATTGGTCTACCAGCCTGTTTTGGTGCCAATACCATGCTGTTTTGTTACTATTGCTGTGTGGTATAGTTTAAGGTCTGGTATAGTGATGCCACCTGCTTCATTCTTCCTTGTAGGGATTTCTTTATCTATTCTGGGTCTCTTATTTTTCCAGATGAATTTCATGATTGCTTTTTCTAATTCTATGAGGAATGCCTCTGGGATTTTGATCAGAATTGCATTAAATCTGTATAGTGCATTTGGAAATATGGTCATTTTGATAATATTAATTCTGCCTATCCAAGAGCAAGGTAGATCTTTCCATCTTCAGAACTCAAAAAGCTAAACACCAAAAAAAACAAATAACCTAATCAATAAATGGGCCAAGGACCTGAAAAGACACTTCTCAAAATATGATGTACAATCAATTAACAAATACATGAAAAAAATATTCATCATCACTAGCAATTGGAGAAATGCAAATCAAAACCACCCTAAGATTTCAGCTCACTCTAGTCAGAATGGCAGCTATTATGTATATAAACAACAATAAGAGTTAGCAAGGATGTGGTGGAAAAGGTACACTCATACACTGATGGTGGGACTGCAAATTGGTGCATCCAATATGGAAAGCAGTATGGAGATTTCTTGGAAAATTAGGAATGGAACCACCATTTGACCCAGCTATCCCTTCTCCTCGGTCTCTACCCAAAGGACTTAAAAACAGCACACTATAGGGACCCAGCCACATCAATGTTTATAGCAGCACAATTCACAATGGCCAAGCTATGGAACCAACCAGGGTAGATGGGATTTTACCATGTACACAGTGGAATATTACTCAGCCATAAAGAAGAATGAAATGATGGCATTTGCTGATAAATGGATGGACCTGGAGACTATCATGCTAAGTGAAATAAGCCAGACCCAGAAAGTCACAAGATGCATGTTCTCCGTGACATGCAGAAGCTAATCCAAAATAAAGGGACAGGGAAAGAGAGAGAAAGGGAAAAGTGGTGATTGCATGAAAATAGAAGAAAGCCAAGATGCCCAGCCTGACGTCACACTGGCAGTTCTGCTCCCTGGGCCTCCCAAGGGGCTCACCCAGCCCTGGGCAGCCTTCATTTGATGTCCGCGCACCTGGGTGTCACGCTGTCTCTCCCTGGAGGAGGTGGGGCTCTCCTGCTGTCTGCATGTTGTCTGGCATCTCCGTGGGATGGTGGCAGAGCCTCTCTCTATTGGTGGTTATCTAGAGATACTTAGTTCCTGCTCTCCAGAGAAAACCAGCATACATGCCCAGCTGACCTCGAGAAACAAAGGGGTTGGGTCCCCCCTGCTGCTGGGCCACTTGGTGCCTCCTTCACGGACACCACTCTGGAAGCATGCGAGTCACAGCAGCAGACTAACTAGCTTTAATTTCACTTCTAGGCTCCATGGTCCCCTTTTCTATGCGTATCCTGCATGCAGAGCTGCAGCAGTACCTGGGCAATCCACAGGAGTCCCTGGACAGACTGCACAGGATCAAGACCGTCTGCAGCAAGGTAACCACGGCTGTCCCCAGCCCCTCCCCACCTGTGTCATGCCATTCTGCACTCGTCCCTCCCGCTGACACCAGCACCACTTCCTTTCTCAAAACCAAGTCATCATACATTGATATGGCCATGGTATCTGTTGGTCTGGCCAGAGTGGCTTCAAGGGTGGAGGATGGTTGTTGGAAGAGCATGAGTGCTGAGCTTTCCCTTCCTCAGTACTCTCAATAAGTGAAGCTGGGTGCTGAGCTTCCCCTGTCTCAGTTCTCTGGGTAAAAGAAAGCAGAAACACTTACCTAAGTGGAAGTAACACATGAGCACCCGCCTGGTTGCCCTCTGACAGGCCTCCGTTGGCCAGAGCACGCATGCGCCCACACGTCACAAGCACCTGCACCGTGCCAGGCAGAAGACCGCAGCAGCACTGAAACACAGTCCTCTCGCACACTGATGCCGGGGCCCAGGAGCTGTGGGTGCTTGCTGAGGGACCCCTGGTTGTGACAGTGATTATACAAAGACAGCTTGCCATCCGTCGCGTCCGCCGATCAGACTCATGCTAAGAAATGTTAGGAAGGAATGTGGGATTTCTAATCTTCACTGTTTCCAGTGGGCAGCCGTGAGGCTCCTCCTGCGGGTGAGGAATGGCATCCCCTCGCAAGGCCCCTTGCAGGCCAGGGGAGCCACTGGGTGGAAGTGCTTAAAAACCACAGCAACAGGCAGCTGCTGGGAGCAAAAGCGTGGTACAGCCAGCTCCCCTGTGGGAGTTCTGCGAGCCCCAGGGCTGTCAGCACCCAGCAGGGAGGTGAGCCTGCCCAGGCTGTGCCGGAGGGTCTTCTGCAGGGCGGCATGGGATTCAGGCCCTCCTGCCCACAGGCTCGCATCTGCTCCCACTTTTTCATAACATAACTTAAAAGATAAAAAGAACTGTGCTGCTTTCCTGTGCCTTGACCAGTTGATGAAATTGCTTTTTTAACTTTTTTACATGATAACACTTTTCTTGAATCTTAAAACACAGTTAAAATATATTTATTTCCAGAATTAGGAACTGCATAACTTGATACTGAGAAATTCTAGATCAATAACTCTCTAAACTATCCTGTTTTTCATTCACCTCCATATCAGATTGTTGCAGGAAGATTTTTTACGATTTGGGAGAGAACACTGAGGCATGGGGTGGTTAGAGAGTGAAAAAGTTAAGAGAGTAAAGTAGTTTTGTGAGCCAGCGCTCTGGTCCTTACTTTTTTCCCACGTGCTCGAGGTCCCCCCAGGCCCCACTTACTAAGGACTGGCCGCAGCCCTTGCCTCAGGCTTCAGAGCAACTAACACATGGTCAGAGAGGAGTCCTCCGCACTCTGTTCTGGCCACTTGTCCTCTTTCTTCTTGACAGGCAGGTACGTGGAGCTCGGGATGAGCCCGCCACCTTTCCTGAGCCACATATTAACTCAGCAATCCTTGAGCAACCCATGAAGCAGGGGTTGCAGTGTCGAAGGGAACTGACTGAGGAGCAGCAAGCAGCACTCAGACAGGAGAACTCCAAACTTTATTTTATGCTGGCGGGCCCAGAGAAAAACAAGAACTCCAAATTCTGAGCCCTGATCCCTAGTTTCTCACAACATTTAGATGTTATTTGATGTCATCTTAGATCCATCTTATCATTGGGGCTTTTTTCTTTTTAAAAAAGAAAAACCTAGGGCTGGGGTGTGGCTCAGTGGCAGAGCGCTTGCCTAGCATGTGTGAGGCACTGGGTTCAAGTCTCAGCACCACATGCAAATAAATAAATAAATAAAGGTCCATCAACAACTAAAAAATGTTTTTAAAAAATATTCCTCATCTGTGTGGCTGAGGGCCTTGTGCAGGGTCTCTAACATGGAGCCTGCTCATGGAAACAGATAAGAAACGGCTCTTTCCAAGGTATCTGTTACTTTTCAAGAGGGAGTGGTCAGACTCTTAGGGCAGTTACTTACCATCCAAAAGGTCGAGACCCATGGTTAATTAGGCTTCCTGGAGAAAGGCTGAGAGGGGAGCAGAACCAACCCCTTCCCCAGGCCTTGGTTTCTTGCCATAAGGTCCTGGTAATTTCATTTCACACCCAGGTCTGGTTTTGCCCTCCCAGAATATCCCGTCCTATAAAGGAGGACGCTGAGGCACAGGGAGGTCACCTGACTTGAGCCAAGGAGTCTGGCTCTGGGCCCATGCTCCATCATCACTGCCATGTGTTCTGTAAGAAGTGAGGAGGCCTGAAGGAGGCTCTCCTCCTCCCTGTACCAGCGTCTGTGCCTCCCCTGCAGAGGCAGCCTCTGCTGCACTCTGGGTGGGCCACGTCCACTCGCGAGTCTGTGCAGAGTGTTCAGACCTGCTCCTGGAGCTGGTCCTTGCCGAGCTGTGTGGGCCCCAGGGGTAACGTGGGGCCCACATGGCACTGCACTCCAAAGCCATCTCACAGGAAAATTCTGATTTGCAGGGCAGTGTTAATTCTCAGAGACAGCCCATGGGGCAGTGATGGCATCTGATCTCAGAGAAGTAGACGATAGCATTAGAGGTGAGACGTATGGGTGACATGATTACAGGGAGTGTTAGTTCTTTTGTTTTCAAGACTAATGCAATGTGTGAATTCATTTATAAGACCTTTTCTATTGAAAAAAATGAGGACCTTGGGACAAAGATAAAATTTAGCTAGTAGTACAGTTGGTGCAGTAAAAGATGTGTTCAAAGCAAATTTGGTGTCTACTTCCTAGTAACCAAGGCAGAGTGGAAAATATAACTGACTACAGAATTCTCAGCATCCATAATCCCGTCATTTGTTCAGAAGCAGCTGAACTTTTCCTAGTTTGGAAGACTCACCAAGGGATGATTAGAGTCTGTGTGTTCATCATGTGAGTCCCAGACCAGGGTGATGTCAGGAGCTTCTGTGTGGGCCCAGTTTTATCAGGACACCCCTCTGCTCTTTATAAAGGAGTCAAGTATTGGTTTTACCTATTTGAGCCGGTAGTGAATCAGTAAATGTGTAGATCAAAGGAATTACACCAATGAAGAGTGAAATACGCCATGATTCACTGTGAGTGCCGTGGCGCCGTGGCTAGAGGCTCGTGGCGCTGCTGAGAGCAGATGCCTCCGTCTTTGCTCTCCGTGTGTCTCACTAGTTCTGCAAGCGATCTCCTCCCCTGGGTCTGAGAACTTGGCAGGGCAGTTGGGAGAAAGCCAAGTGAACCTCTTCCTGAGAGCCATTGCATAAGCAGATACAGAACCCGTCAGTAACGGTGTCTGATCAGTTTGTGCTTCATCCACTACCAACATGGATGTGCCCAGCATGGTCTCCAGACCAACCCCATGCCACCTGCCTGTTCTGCAGCCCCCACCAGCCCACGAGAGCTTGCTGAGGGCACCAGAGGCAAAGGAGTCCTTCCTTAGAGCTTCACCCACATCTGGAGGAGGCGAAGGGAGAGAAACCTATTCAGTGGTGCCAGTGTATTTGGCTTCTCTGCTGGTGGTTGAGAGCTCAGTCTCTAGAAGGGGTTAATAGCTTTTCTAAAAGGGATTTCTGACAGATGGACGTATTCAGTTCTGCTGTTTTATTTGTACACAAAGTTAGAAATGGAAGTGAGAACAGCCGTCACTGCCTGTCACTGGCCAGCTGCTCTCAGGCAGGCCACCATCAGCATACTGAGGACGTGCACTGCGGCCAGCTCTCCGCCTGGCCCGGATGGCTGCCTTGCTCAGTGTTCTGCTCCCCACAGAGAGCAAGCTGACTGTGGCTTGAGAAGAGAGGGGAACGACTGGCACCTGGAGAGAAGTGGAGCAGGCTCAAGGGCCTCGCTTGGAGGCTCACGCCCTGACGCCATGTGAGCTTGCCCTTGAGAACATGAGGTGATGGTCACCTGCAGGAGAAGCTGTTGTATCCCTGAAGGAATGGAACAGCCCTTGTTATCAGGGCTTGCAGGATTTATGTCCCGACTGCTCACAGTGGACATTCGCCCTCCAGAAGCCCCTCGATTATACCCTGCATATCACAAGCCAGGACTTGGGAATGGCCAGCAGCCACTTGGCACCTACACCTGGCACAAGTCTGGCTGCACCACAGTGAGCTCAAGGCTTGTGAAGCCCAGGGAAGCAGGCCCTTGGCATGGTAACAAGGCCTGACATGCTGCACGCTTTGTCCTGTTTCCTCGGCACTGTGTACTCTTTCCTTCTAGACGTGCCTTCAAGGTACGAAGGCTCCAGAGGACACTGCCCAAACACAGGCAGTGATTGGGAGGGTGTCCTGAAGCCCTGCAAACAGAGTGAGAACTTCCACATCCAGCCCTGCCTTGCTGGCTGCGGGACGAGCTGCTCCGCCTGGGTCAGCCCGGCCTCTTTGGCCTGAGTAGTATTGCTCACAACCCCTGGGCTTTGAGTCAGGGCTCAGCACAGTGCTGGTACCTGGCGAGTACCTAACACTTCTTGTGTGCCCTGGAGCAGCTCCAAGAAACTCACATCCCTTTGGGAAGCCTCTTTTCTGAAATGTCTCCTGGGATGTGGTGGTGAGGAGGGGAGAGCCTGGACTTCCTGGAGATCCAGGACAGAGCTGACCTACCCTTTAGTCTGGACTGTAGAGGGTCAGTGAGTCCTCAGATCCCCGAGTTAGTTCCACCTCACAGCCATCTGTACTGATGCCTCACATAAGTCCTGTCCCAGCATACCACACAACACATGACAGTCACCCAAGGGACAGGTGTGAAGGGTCCTTCCTCTCAGCCTCTGGAGAACTGTGGCCCCAGACTAATGGGGTCTGTTTCCAGTTAGGGCACCTGCTCCACCACCTTTCCAGATGACTGCATAGAACTCAAACAAGGCTTTGGGTCCTTTAAATCTGAATAGGGTACAAATTGCCTTTTTAAATCCTGTTGTGAACAAGACAGTCAGCTGGGATGGTTCAAGGCATTCATACGATTTTGTCCTTGGACAAAACCACCAGGTGTTCATTCCTCCCTGCCCCCCCCCCAGTGGATGGCTGGGGGCTGTCTGCATGGCTGGGATGCAGCCTGTCCCTCCCAGGCAGCCCAGGACAAGCCAGTGCTAGGCACTAAGGTGTGGCCCATCAGACCCTCCTCTCAGGAAGGCAGCTCTTGCCCCGTGCTGCCCTCCACCCCCACTCCCTGCCAGCAGCCTCTTCTCATGAGTGCAGCTGCTTTCAGAGAGGGGCTGCTCCAGGACTCCAAAGAGGAACCCGTATGGAAGCTCCCAATTGAACAAAACCAGTGTGCTGCAGCACTGACCTCGGCATGCCTAAAATGAGCTGCCTCAGGCGTAGGTCATCCACTGCCATGGGACACACCACTCCAAAGCTCTGGCTTCAAGCAACAGTGGCTTTCTTTTTTCTTTTAAAAATAAATGTTATTTTTAGGACAGTTTTGTTTTACTTTCGTGAGCATGTATGAATCGCACACATCAATGGGGCTCAGTATGATATTCCTTTGAGCGCCCACCCAGCGGCACAGATTGATTCAGCCTCCTTCACCCGCCCTCCTTCCACGCCACGCTCCCCGGCCTCCCAAGCTGTGTAGCCCCGAGTCTGTGCTTGGCTGTACCTCATCATCTTGACTTTCCACGTGTGAGAGAGAACATGAGGCTCAGGGTGGTGTCCTCCAGTTCCACCCGTTTTGCTGCGTGTGGCAGGATTGCATTCTCCCCTGTGGCTGATGAACACCCCGCTGTCATGTGTGCAGTCTTTCTTTACCTGTGCATCTCTTGATGGGCACTTAGGCTGGTTCCATACGTAACTGTTTGAATCCTGCTGCCGTAATGGGCGTGGGCTTTCCCTTGGTAGGCTGATGGCATTTCCTTTGGCTATATGTCCAGAGGGGTGGCTGGATCTGATTTTAGTCCTCCAGGGAACCTCAATGCTCTTCTCCATGATGGTTGCACTACGTCGCGTTCTCACCAACAGTGCATGACAGCTTTTCTCCTCACCTCCCTTGGTTTTTTATTTTTATTTAATATTTATTTTGGGGAGTTATCGAGGACTGGGCACAAGGGCACTCGACCACTGAGCCACATCCCCAGCCCTATTTTGTATTTTATTTATAGACAGGGTCTCTCTGAGTTGCTTAGCACCTCGCTGTTGCTGAGGCTGGCTTTGAGCTCATGTTCCTGCTGTCTTGGCCTTCTGAGCCACTGGGATCACAGGCATGAGCCACTGCACCTGCTGGTTTTTAGATTTTTAATAGTAATTATTCTAACTGGGGTGAGATGACATTTCATTGTAGTTTTGATTTGCATTTTCCTGATGGCTAATGATATTGAGCATTTTTCCTTAAATACTTTTGTATCTATTCAGATCGTTTGGCCATTTTAATTGAAGCACCCGTGTTGTTGTTGTTAAGTTTCCTGAGTTTCATGTGAATATTTTCTCCAATTCCTCGGGTTGTCTCTTCATGCCTTGATTGTCTTCTTAGCTTTCAGAAGCTTTTTAGTTTGCTATGATCCCATTTGTCTATTTTTGCTTTGGTTTCCTGAGCTTTGGGGTCTTATCCAGAAAACCTTGCCCATGCCAAGGTCTTGAAGTATTTCCCCTATGGTTTCTTCTAGTTTCCTGTCTCACATGTAGCTCTCTGGCCCATTTTGAGTTGTTTTTCGTGTTTTTGTTAATGCACTGAGGTGTACATAAGAGCATGAGCATCTTCACATGTTCATCCATGCATGGCTCCTCGTTTGCTCCATTTCAGCCCCAGTGCCTTCACTGACCCTCCCCTCCCCCACCCTGTCACCTTACTCTGCTGATTTCCTTCTGCTTCCTTACTGTCTCTAAGTGGTGCTCTATACATACTTTTTGTGGCAATTGTGAAGGGAGTTGTTTTCATATTTGCTTTCTTAGCAGTCTTGTTATTGATGTGTTAAAAGGCTACTGAAGCCAGGTACTATAGCGCACGCCTGTAATCCCATCAGTTCAGGAGGCTGAGCTGAGAAGAATACAAGTTCAAAGCTACCCTTAGCAACTTAGTGAGGCCCTAAACAACTCAGTGAGACCCTGTCTCTAAATAAAATACAAAAAGGGTTGGGGATGGGCTCAGTGGTTAAGCATCCCTGAGTTCACTATCCAGTACCAAAAAAAAAAAAAAAAAAAAAAAAAACCAATGTTGCTGACTTTTACACATTGATTTTGTATCCTGCAACATTAGGGCCAATAGCAGAAGTAATACTAAGAAGGAAGTTTACAGCAAAACACCTCTACCAAAAAGAGAAAGCTTCAAAAAAAAAAAAAAAAAAAACTAACAGTGCATCTTGAAGACCTAGAAATGTTGTATTAAATGTTTATTTGTATTTTGATGAGCATTTAGATTTTTCTATATTTATCATAAAATCTGCAGATAGGAATACTTTGGCTTCCTATTTGTATGCTTCTATTTCTTTTTCTTGCCTTATTGCTCTGGCTAAAACTTCCAGTACTATTTGAATAAAAGCATTGTCTTCTTCTAGACCTTGGAGATGTTCTCAGCTCTTGCGCATTCAGTATGATAGTGGCCCTAAACTTGGTTCTGTTTTAGTAGGTTGTATGTGTCAGAAGTCTGCTCATTTCTTCTAGGTCTTTCAGTCTGTTAGCCTAGCGTTGCTCATGACAATCTCTACTGATATCAGTGTCTCGGTTGTAATGCCTCCTCACCTTTATTTCTTTGGATCTTTTCTTCTTAGCTAAAGATTTATCAGTTTTGTTTATCTTATTTAAAAAACACTCATTATTTCATGGTCTTTTGTATTTTTCAGTCTGAGTTTGGCTTACTTCTGCTCTCTGTCACTTCTTTCCTAATGTTGATTTTGGCTTTATTTCTCTTCATTTTCTAGGTCCCAAGATGCGCTGTTTTTATTTGAAATCTCTCTTCTTGCTAGTGTTTTGCTGTAAACTTCCTTCTTAGTATTACTTTTGCTGTTGACCCTAAGTTTAGGTTCATTCTTTCCATTTGCATTTGTTTCCAGAAAGTTTTAAATGTTCCTTTAGATTTATATATTCAGTGACATTGTTCAATAACGTGTTAAGTGACTGTGTGTATTCTGAAGTTTCTTCTGTTAGTTTTTGATCTAGTAGTCAGAGAAGACCATGACATTTTGATTCTCTTTGATCTCTGAGACTTGTTTTATAGCCTGATGCATGGTGTCTCCTGGAGAACACTGCATGTGCTGAGGAGAACCACTCCATCACTAGGAAATGATCCGCAAATGTCCCTTCAAGGTGCAGCAGCTTAGCTCGCTACCGACAGGCTGTGTGTTGCCCTCGTGTACAGAAGTGGCCTTTGCTGGCACATGCACTGCTGCTCAGCAGTGCAGAGGGCTGGCTGTGGTCACTCTCAGTGTAGAGGTGGCCTTTCTTGCGCATGTGTCTTTGCTCAACAGTGCAAGGGCTGGCTCTGGCAGCTCTGCAAGCTGCTGACTGTGAACCAGGGTTTCTGATGGGTCACGTGGTGTGCACTTGTGATCTGGAGGGGACCTGCAGACAGCCTTCATTCAGCAGTTGGTTGAATGGTTCTGTTTTGGTAGGTTGTATGTGTCAGAAGCCCTAACATGGGAAGCAGTGCTGAGGACCAGACACCCGAGGCAAACGGCCGACTGTCATGGCTGAGCCTCCCCTGTGCTCACACGCTTCTGCAGCCTGGGCCTCTGCAGACCCTGTAGAGCCTTGCCGGAGTCCCCCTACCTGGCATGTGGGCTCCTCGCAGAGGGCAGCTGTAGCTTCCTCTCGACCTCAGTGCCCTCCCCACTGTGTGGACAGGCCCCAGCAAATGAAGCTGACTCTCCAAAAGGAGGACAGGAGAGCAGCGGGGAGTGCCCCCGTGCTCTGCTCCTGCTGGTCTGCTGGAGCTTCTGTTCTGGGCACCTCTTGGCCTCTGAAGCGCAGGATCCTCCTCCCAGCATCTGCCCGCCGGGGCTGCCCCTCTTTTCCCTGAAGCCCACTGGAACACAGGGCTCATCGGCACAGCCCATAGGCACAGGGCTCCCCTCAGGTCTGGGGGTCAGCAGAGTGCACTGGTGAGCTGTGGTTCGGGGCAGGCGGGGCCGTCGCCGGCCCTCTGCTGAGCGACCTGCCTCAGCACTGCCCTCCACCTTTGCTTTTGCCCTCCACGCAGAGGTTCCTCCCCCCTGCCCAGGGTCACTGAACCGGTGGCCCTAATCCTAGTGGCACTGGACATCTGCATGGTCAGGGTTCCACTGGGCTCCTTCCCTCCCTTCCTGGGCTTCCTCTCCTCCAGCGCAAGGGATTGCAACTGCACAGAAGACAGACTAGCCAGGAGACCATTTGATGCAAGACCCCAGGCATGCCACAGGTCGAGGTTCACGGCCACTGCTGTCCTCTCTCACAGGCGAGCGGGCTATAGAACCATGGCTTCCTTGCTCGCGCTGGAGTGGAGGCTGGGTAGGTGGCCTGGTGAGAGAAAGGGGTTTCCCCACAGGGAACGGCCTGAGGCTGCTGTCTCCCTGCTAAATAGTCTTTATTCTTAAGACTTTCTCCTGTCCTTCCCCTCAAGAAAATAATAAAATCTGTACCTAAATGATAGTGGCCACAGCAACTTGTCTTTCAGTGTAAACCAAAACGTGGAAGAAGCAACCAAGAGTTATTAACCAAGCAGGACGATCTACATGAAGCGACAGCTGCACAATATTTATTTGGTACATTAAAAAAGGCCACAGCCCCTCACAGCCTGGAAGAATGAGACGGTATTTCCACAAAAGTTGATAATCACTCTCATGTGTCACATACTTGATGCTTTTCTTAAAAAGAAAAGCCACATGTCCCTATGCACAATGTCTCGTTGTGGTTTACGAGTGTCATAAACCCAAATTCCACCTTCCGCAGAGAACAGGCCCTTCTCTTTGCTGTCACCTCTGAGTGATAGTCATCATGGCCTTTGAGATGTATCCGTGTGAACATTCCTTGACAGATTGGTTTTCATCCAGAGAAATTTGCTCTACCTGGAATATATTGTGACAAGTCTAGACGCAAACTCAATTTTATGGTTTTGTTTTCCTGTTTGAAATGACTGCAGATCTTAGCCAACCTGGAGCAAGGTCTAGCTGAAGACGGGGGCATGAGCAGCGTCACACCAGAGAGCCGGCAAGGTGAGCATCTCCTCTCAGTAGAGCCGCACAGGCCCTGGGACTCCTCCTGTCTCCCTCTGTGACAGTCACACAGTCACTCACTCCTTCCTCTTGGCAAGCTGAGCCCTGTGGCTGTGCTGCAGACCTGTGTGCAGATTTAGACCTGCGCCTATCCGCAGGGAAGAAGATGCACCTTAACCCACCTGTCACCCACGCAGGTGACCTTCCTCCCCCAGGTGGCGGTTCTGAGAGAGCCTTGACAGAGGGCCTAGCCCAGCCTGTGGCTCAGGAGGCCTCCCATGCAGGAAGGGCACCTCACCCACCTGGGTCTGCCCCCCATGGCAGGAGGGAGCAGGGTGGGACCAGACATGAGCCAGTGCTGCAGGAAGAGTGGCTGGGGAGGTGGTCCAGGGTGCAGCCTCTGAGGCCACGCATGTTGGTCTGCAGGAAACAGGGTGACACCCCAGGGCTCGGGGTCGCTGTGGGTGCAGATCTATATTTTGAGAAGGTCACTACCTCGGTCTGTTTATTTGGCTTCCAGTTCTGGGGTGGAAATGCAAGAGCTCCCACTGGCATCTGGTCAGGCCGTCTCGCTGCGTCATAACGTGGCAGAGGGCATCATCACATGGAGAGGCCAAGCAAGCACGCTACTAGCCCTTCTTATAAAGCCACTAACGCCTTCAGAGGCCCCCAGTGACCTGCAAGGCCCCTTCCTCGAAACCACGAGCAGGACTTTGGGGCTGGTATTTGCCCTGTGAAGTGGGGACAGGTTCACCCCACAGCAGGTGTCCTGGCTGCAGCACGCTGAGTTGATTTGTGGGGGTGAGCTTCCAAGGTGCTGCAAGCCCAGCTCCACGCGAACTCCCAGCAAGGCCCTCCTTCCCTCATCCCTACCCCTGCCTCCTCCCCGCGGCCACCTGCTCAGTAAACGCCCAGATCCACATCACTGCTGGCTCAGGCCTGATACACCTGGGCTCTCCGGAACTGCCATTAGGTGTTCACATGTGGGAAGAGAAGAGAGCTGGGGGGACCCCCGTCGGGCCCAGGGCACTGAGCTAGGTCAGTGAGACCGGAGGCAAGAGGGACGTGTGGGGAAGGGGCGTCACCCTGGGTCCCCATCGTGCCCTCCATCCTTGAGAAACCGCATGTGATTTCCTGGAGAAATCACATGTGTGGGATGTGTGGGTGGGTAGGTATGTGCATGGTGTGAGGTGTGGGTGTGGTTTGTGTGTGTGGTTGTGTCTGTGTTTCCAGTGAGTGTGGGTGTGTTGTCTGTCTGGTGTGTGTGTGCCTGCGAGGCCGGCTGGGGAAGGCATCACCCTGACACCCCGCCCCTGCATTTGATGCCCCTGGGCCTTTAGAGGAAGGAGCACATCAAGGCCAGGTGTGTGGTCCCACTCCTGGGGCTCTCACAGGCACAACCGAGCTGGCGAGGCCTGCAGAGGGCGGCAGAGGGCCGCTCACGGCGCCCAGCCGCGCCGAGGCTCATTGAGAAGGAGGCGGTGAGAAGACAGGAGCTGCAGGTGTGTGAGTGCTGGAGGACGGGGCGTGGCCCGCTGGGGCAGTACGCGTGTCTCCGGGAGCTGGGGCAAGCCTGGTTCCAGGGAGCCACGATCTCAGAGGGCAGCGGTGCTGGCTGGTAGGGGAAGCCCCTGGGCCTGTGTCCCCCACCACCACCACCACCCCATCCCCCGCGCCATCCCGCAGCAAGCCCTTCCTGCCTTCCAGCAGCGTGGGTTCCTCTGGAGGAGTGGACTGAGCCCAGGGCAAGGCTCACTGACCAGGGGTTCAGATGACATACCCCTGCCTCTCTGGGCCTCAACCTAATTATCAGTGAAATACAAACTTTGAAGTCAGCTGAGTCCCCAGCACAGAACTCACTCCCGGTGACCTCAGTGTGTAAACAGAGCCATAGGCCAGCCCTCCCTCGTGCCAGAAGCCGCTATGGGGCCTCTCTAGACCCCGGAGGCCGTGGAGCCATGGAGCCCATGAGAACCATAGAAGGACAGGCCCTGGAGGTTTGGACTCAGTGGAAGGATGGCAGATGAGCAGTGGGTACAGCGGGAGAGAGCAGGCACTGCCCCTCCAGGAGCCGGTGCCCCAGAGCTGCTGCGCGGCCGTCGTGGGAGCTGGCCTTGTGCTGCTTTCCCCTGTCCAGGTGGACGTTGGTACTCATTTGCTGGTTCTCCCTCACAGAGCCCTGGGAAGAAAAGAGGCCAGGGATTGTTGTTTCCCTTTAAAAGATGAAGGAGCCAAGGCCTGGGAAGTTGTCCTGGGAACTAAAGCAGAGCCAGCCGGTGCAGAGCCTGGGGAGAACCTGCTTCCCTGCCACCCCTGCCTGGGGGGGTGCAGGAGCCTCGTGGCCTCTCGTGGCTAGCTCCTTGAGGCCCTTCCCACCAGGGCACAGCCACAGGAAGGTTGGTGCCTTTCTGGGAGTTCTAACCTGGTGCTCCTGTTGGATTTCCAGGCCCTTTGCCTGAGCTGAGGCTAAGCTACAGCCTTTCTGCAGCGTGCATCTTCCTGGAGCCACTGAGGCCCTCCGGATGTGCCTGCTGTGCCTCTTGCCTCGAGTGTAACCCTCAGCAGGATGAACATTCTGGCTGGAGTCCGTGGTGTTAGCAAGAGAGGCTTGTAAATCAGACTTCAGAAAGCCTGGCCACATAGCCCGGCCACCACAGGCCCAACCTTTGATGTAGCTACACTCTGACCAGCTGCTCTTCTTTCGCAGCCTCCGTTCAGCTGTGGAGGTCACGTCTGGGCCGGGTGCTGTACTCCATGGCAAACTGCCTGCTCCTGATGAAGGTACGTGGCCAGCCAGCTGCGGAGCACTGTGTCCAGAGGAGGGCCGGAGAGGGGCTGGTGCACTGGGCGAGAGCAGGTGATGTTCCTGAGCAGAGTCCAGCCGAGCCCCGGGCAGTTCAGTGGAGTTCAGTGACACCCTAGGGCTGAATCTGTGTTATTTCTAGAAGGCAGGATTGATGTGGTCAATCTTAATCATACAAACATGGGTCATCCCCCTTATCTTCCTCTGAATTCCACTCAGGCAGGTTCTTTTGTTCCCGGCTTTGGTGGGTTCCTTCCATCCCCACTCAGTGTTGATTGATGCTTATGACTTCTGAGGTCAAGAAACCCCACCAACCCCACGCACCCCAAAGCTTTCCACCCGAGAACCTGTGTGACAATCGAGGAATGCGTGGGGCCTGCCAGTCATTCCTTTCTCCCAGCCTGTTCTGCTGCACACGGCCCTCAGCCTAGGCAGTAGTGCTCTTCAGTTTCTGTGTTTCAAATGCAGCCCACGACTGCTTGCCTCCACCCTGGGCCCAGCTGTCCTCCACTGAGCTCTGAAGCTGCCCAGCAGTCCTGGAGCCCAGCCTTGGAGCGGCAGCCACTCCAGAGCAGCACCATGAGCATCTTCTGGGCTGTTCTGAGATGGGCAGCGCTCCTGCCACACTCACGGCTCCCAGGCTACCCACGGTCGCTCCTGGACGGGCTCTGCACTCCGGCCCCTCTTTAGCCCTGGTGTGGCAGCCCCACATTACAAACAGAGGCCTCGGCAGCCCTGGAGAGTGCTGCGTCCACAAATAGCTCACCTGTCCAGGTAGGAAGGTGTGCAGCCCCAGCACCCACTCAGGGTCCCTACCTCTGGTCCCTACCTTCTGCTGGTGCAGAAGGGGCAGAACATCAGCCTGCCCTCTGTGCAGTGACCTGGACACCTCCTCTGTCCACCAGCCTCGGCTTCCTCACAACACAGCAAGGGATGGCTGCCTCTGGTTCCCTCCCAGCTCTGACGTCACACAGCTCTCTCTCCCCTTTCCACACAAAGGAAAGCGTGTTTTTTAGGGAGTTCTATGGCTTTTTTCTAAGAATGGGTGTTTTCTTCTCTAAGATATTTCTGAAAAGGTGGTAGCTGTACGGCCACTTTGTTCCTTGTTCTCCCCCCTCTTTCCATTGCCTTCCTTCTCGTCCTCCCCTCTAACCCTGTCAGCAGGGCCTGCCCCCTCTGAGCTGGCCTCACACCTCCTGGGAGCCACCTGTGGGCCAGAGCGGGGCCTTGGGGGTAACTAGGCGCCCAGCACCTGGCTCCTGTCCTCTCTGCCCTCCACTTGGCAGTCTGAGCAACCACAGCGAACCCGCCTCTCCACGCCCTCGCAGGCTTCCCCCGAAGGCCTCTCAATTCTGGTTGCCAGAACAGCTTGTGCAATCACAAGTTCGCAGCACCAAAGTCCCTCTAAGTCCCTCGTGGGCTGGAACTCCAGGGGAAGGAAGCCACCTGTTCCACTGCTGGGCTTGGACTTGAACTTTTTAAGGTGCATTCATAGAAGATTGTAGAATAAAAAGTGCTTTTCTTTGTTGTGGTGCAGTCGCAACACCACACACCAACGTAAGGCCTCTACCTATGTTGTTGGGACTCAGTACAGAACACACCATGGCTTTTCAAGAATTTTTTTAAATGACATAATTTAATTTGAAAGTTTAGCTGAATCTTTTTTATTTTCATGAATTTTAAAAAGGAGTGAAAAATGTTACAATTAAGGCCCATCCAGCATGCACAGTCTGTTGCCATCTAGTGAGCATGCTCGGTATTGCAGCAGTGGGGGTCTGGTGTCATTAAATTCCGTGCATGGGCTAACAATGAGTTATTTAATCAGCCATTTAATTATTTCAAATAGCATTTCTGTTATGGTGAAGTAAATATCAATTTAACTTCTTAATGATGAGAAACCTATCTGTATGTTCCAACCCCAGATATCTGCATACTGCGCTGTAAGGGCACATATATCATGCCCATATAACCAAGCCAGGGAAACCCCACAGTACTCAGTTCGTAAATGTCACTTCTTCTCCTTAAGCCTGTTTGTGGTGCTGGGATGGAATCAGGGCCTTGAACAGGTGGCATGCACTTTCCCACCAACCTACCTCCCCGTCCTTTTTATTTTACTTTGAGATAAGGTCTTGCTAAGTTTCCCAGGCTGGCCTGGGGCCTGCTGTTCTTCTTGGTCGCCTTGAGGCCACACAGGGGCACCAGCTCACTGCCCAGACCCTCTGTGCCTCCCAAGTCTACATCCCTCCAGGTGCCCCCACTTCCCCTGTCCTGGCTTCTCACCTGTGGAAAGAACATGAATGCACTGCCTTGCCCACACTCAGCCATGACACAAAGTATCCCTGGTCCGGAGTGGCCAAAAGGCTGGTTTTGCAGCCAGAGTCACTGTGGAAACTGTGCAGAGTCAGTTTGTCCCTGATGAAGTGTCCGTGTTCCTCTCCGTGTGCCAGCAGGGCTGAGTGGGCTCTCTGAGGAGCTCCCGTCAGCCGGGCCCCTCAGGGGGCTCTGTTCCCCCACCTGGGGAATGAGTGGTTTGACTGAGAACAGTGACTCAGGGCAGCTCTCCAGCACAGCTCCACGCCCCCGTTTAGCCACACTGACTGGCGAGAAGTCATCCTGGCGGAGCTCACTGCCGGCCCTCCATGCTGGGGTGCTGGTGCTCTCACAGTGGCCGTCTTGGCAGAACACAGGTGAAGCACGGCACAGCCCAGGGACACTCGGAGGCCATAATGACCTGAGTGTGCCTCTTATTCACTGGAAACCTAAGGTAAGGGACGTCAGATCAGAGTGGACACCTCCCAGCAGCACAGAGGCACCAGGCCACAGCCCTCCCAGGAGCGGCAGAGACAGGCTTCTGGAGCCTCCCTGTCTGCCACCTGGACTTTACCAGCCCCAGGATGGTGTGTCCCTCCTCAGCCTTGGCCTCAGCCCTCCCTAGGCCTGAGGAGCTGCTCACAGATCCACCTCTGTAGGGTCTCACCCTCTCACTCCCACTTAGAAGCGGGTCAGTCCAGCCATAGGCAGCAGCAGGCAGGGAGATGTCCTGCTGAGCAAGCCCGGGGCATAGGCCTGTAGCCCCAGCAACTCGAGAGGCTGAAGCAGGAGGATGGCAAGTTGAAGGCCAGCCTGGACAACCTAGTGAGACCCTGTCTCTATCAAAATAGCAAGTGCCGTGGGAGCGGAGAGGGAGGCATGTGCTGTCTGGCTCCTTGCGAGCATCTGGCCTGGAGTAAAATTAGTTTTAATGAGCTGCCGGGAAGGTACCAGGCTGGAGAGGCTCCGTTTTCTTCCTGCCAAACTGGAACTTGACTTGTCGTCTGTCTTTCTTTATAACATCCCAATTAGCAAACTAGCGACTCCAGTCCTAGTTTGAGGGAATGGAAAATGTAGAAGAATATAAAATAAAAGTACCTTCTGGGGCTTACAGTGAGTCAGCCAGGAGATGAGTCTGTGGGTGGCCACCCTGCTGCCCACAGGAGGGAGTTCAGCACAGTCTGCCACTCGGGCTCCTACTGCAGACCCCGGGAGTGGGGGGGGCAGGCCCCTGTGTCCCCTGTGACTGACAGCCCCGCCCAAGACCAGCTAACACCTGGAGGCGCACTCCGGCCACTCTCACAGGTCAATGGCAGACAGGCCCTGCCTGGAGGAGGGACCGCAATAGGGGCAGGGTGCCTGTTTCTCAAGACGCACAGACTCAAGAGGCATGAAGGCTGAGGTCCTGTGCAGAGTGTAGATGCCAAACATGGTGGCCACAAGGCCTCTCTCAGGGCCCCTGTGCAGTGTGTGCAACAGCAGGAGCTTCCTGGGTGCTGCTGGGAGCAGGTGGCACTCAGGTGTCCTGCTGTGGAAAAACGACGTGGAATGTCAGGCTTGCTCTCCCTGCAAAGTTGACTGGTGGGTTGTTTATTTGACTGTAGGGATTTTGCCTCAATTTCTTTTTTAAAAACATTTTTATTCTTTATTTTAATTAGTTATACATAATAGTAGAATGCATTTATGCACTTTCATGTGTCCTACATAAATGGGATTTAATTTCCCATGTTTCTGAGTGTACATGCCGTAGAGTCACATTAGTTATGCAGTCATGTGGATACATAAAGCACACGTCTGTTTCATTCTTCCACCCTTCCTGTCCCACATTCGCTCCCGTGCCCTCCCATCACTCCCCTCTACCTAATCTATGGTAACGCTATTCTCTACTGCTCCCGCCTTATTGTGAATTAGCATCACATATTAGAGCTAACACATTTGGCCTTTGGTTTTGGGGGATTGACTTATTTCTCTTAGCATGATATTCTCCAACTCCACCCATTTACCAGCAAATGCCTTAATTTCATTCTTCTTTAAAGCTGAGCAATATTCCATTGAGTATAGATACCACATTTTCTTTTTCCATTCATCTATTGAAGGACACCTAGGTTGGTTCCATAGTCTAGCTATTGTGAATTGAGCTGCTATAAACACTGATGTTTGCCTCAATTTCTAGCATGGGAAATATGGATTGTGTTTGGGGAATGGCATTGCTGGTCCACTCTGTAGTCTGTGGGAGAGAAAGTCAGAGATGAGCTGTTCCCTGGACGGCAGGAGAGGGACGCTGACCCTGTGCCCCTGAGTGACAGAAGAACATGCAACTGACTCAGCTCAGAGCCCCGCTCCAGAGCTGCACGCGAGTGTCCTCACTCCACATGTGTGTTAATGGGTAGTTGTGCTCTTCCTGATGTGCAGACTGAGAGTGGTGTCTGTAGCTCACACGGAGCTTTCGGGTCTGTCCACAGGACTACGTGCTGGCTGTGGATGCATACCGCATGGTCATCAAGTATTACCCAGAGCAGGAGCCACAGCTGCTGAGTGGCATCGGCCGCATCCTCCTGCAGGTACCTGTGCTCCCAGGGGCTCCAGGGCAGAGCCAGGCTGCCCCGCCCAAGCAGGGCCTCATTCGCAGCAAGTCTGTCAGTACAAGGAATGGTTCAAAATTAGCTCAGATTGGTGTGGCCATTAAAATGGGGTTTCTCTGCAGCAGTTCTGACCTGACTGTGAAGCCGCTGCCTTAGACGTGGGGAAGGAGGGGTGCTCAGAGTGAGTTGGCAGGAATTTTCACCAGAGACATTGAAGTGGAGAACGTGAGGAACTGTCCCGTTGCGGTTAGTAAAGTATTGAACAAACCAGAAGAAATCTTCCAGCTCAGCTCTCCAGAGCCATCCTACTGGTGCTCTGTGTTCTCAGGACAGATCAAAAGACGTGCCTAGCAGTGTTAGAGGACAAGAGCAAGAGGCGGTGAGGGTAGAGAGCAAGAGCACCCCTGGGTTCAATCTCCGTACAAAATAAATAAATAAATAAAAAGTTCCAGAACACCTAACTGAGAAATAAACCATTTAGTGCATCTCTGAACCAGTAATGTGCTCAGCGCATTTCCCTTGTGGAAAAGCTAAGAAAGCCCAGACACTGACTTGATTGAATTGAAGTCAGGCAGACCTGCTGCAGCTTTCCAGAACGTGATTGACCACCATTTACCTCTGGCGCGCTTCACACAGGATATGCCTCAAGTGCTGTTTAAACCAAGAGAAATTTCCCAGTGCACAGTGGTGTCACGTTTAATATGAATCCTCAGGGACTAAGGCCAAGCTCTGGACCACTGTCAAGAACAGAATGTTTGGCTCTGATGAATTCCTGGCCAAGCACAGGGTTCCAAGTGGAACCCGCCATCACTGTGAGAAGACTGACCCGTGAAAGATGAAGTTCTTACCAAAAGCAGGAATTGGTTAAGCAAATGAATGGGAAATAGCTTTAAAGATTAAGGGATTTCCTTATAAAAGCCTTCTTAGGAAAAGGCACAATACAACTGATATTTTCCATACATTAATTACTCTTCTATGTGTTTATGCCAAATAACTAAAGGGTCTCATGACTTTGAAAATGCTATTAGTTATACTCTTGGCACGCTCTGCGGCAGCTCTGTTTTCCTGCTCAATGCTATACAAATTGTTTATAACCGCAACACCGAGCGCATTTTCCACTTATTTAAGTAATTGTTCTTCACTTTGATTTACTGCGGTGCCTCGTCTTTTCTGTTGATGTGCAGTTGTCAGGGGTGAACTACAAAGGCCAGGAAACCATGATAAATGGAGTGCGCGTGTAATAAACGGCAGACTGAAGCCTCGCATCTGTTTTAGAGAGCAATCCTGCCACATGACTGGTTTTATTTCCCAAGTAAATAACTATAATTTTCTTATTATAAACCTTACGGAGCTCATGTTTAGGCAGCTATGAATCTGGATAGCTGTTCCACCAAGGGGGTGGTTTATTAACTACTTAATGTACCTCTTTCCCTGGATCTTCACAGCAGTAGAGAATGTTCCACAACACACCTGGTAATATAGTACTCTAGTTTTAGAACTTAAGCCTGAAGATAGGCACAAGAGTCTAATGAGGGGAAAACTGGTCTTTGGCTCCTTGGTTTTGAATGAAAAAAAAAAAAATATATATATATATATATATATATATATATATAGAGAGAGAGAGAGAGAGAGAGAGAGAGAGAGTATTGAATGTATATATGTGTATATACATATACATACACACACACTATAAAAAGCCAAGAATTTTACTTGAAATAAAATTCAAATAAAATTTTAAGGTCCGTTAAGTCCATATGTGGTATTGAGAGGCTCCCACTTGTTCAGGGGAATGAAAGGTAAACAGAAGCGGACCCGCATTTATAAAATGGCCCATTGTATGTTCTTGTGCAGTTCCTGTTCATGATGCCCCACAGAGGGCGAGGTCCAGAGCAAAGCAATATTTATATATCATGTATACCTTATCTCCCCAGCATCCCTCGGGCCTGTGCCTGGTTCACACGGCAGGACTTTTACATCTATATCAAGTCCCACCCTCTCTAATGACATCTCTGCCAAAGAGATATTGCACGTGTGGAAGTGGCCCCTTAAGAGTGCATGTCCCAGTGACTCTTGGGCCAGGACTGTTTGTGTAAGTTCACCCTACGATGTTCACAGAATGAAATTGCCTAATAAGCCCTCTCACACATTTCTGGTGGGACTGAAAATTGGTGCAACCAACCTGGAAAGAAGTATGGAGATTCCTTAGAAAACTTGGAATGGAACTACCACATTTGACCCAGCTATCCCTCTCCTCGGTCTATCTATACCCAAAGGACTTAAAATCAGCATGCTACAGTGACACAGCCACATCAATGTTTATAGCAGCTCAATTCACAATAGCCAGACTGTGGAACCAACCAAGATGCCCTTCAACAGATGAATAGATAAAGAAACTGTGGCATATATACAAGTGGAATATTATTACACATTAAAAGAGAATAAAATTATGGCATTTGCAGGTAAATGGATGAAATTGGAGAATGATATTTGGCTAAGCAAAGTAAGCCAATCCCCAAAAAACAAAGGCCAAATATTTTCTCTGGTAAGTGGATGCCAAACCATAATGAGGGGGCATGGGACGAGTGGAGGGATTTTGGACCGGGCAAAGGGGGGAGTGGTGGGGGCATTAGGGCAGAAAATATGGTGGAATGAGATGGACATCATCACCCTAGGTACATGTATGATTGCATGAATAGTGTGACCCTATTTCGTGTACAACCAGAGAAGTGAAAAATTGTGCTTCGTTTGTGTACAATGAATCAAAGATCATTCTGCTGTCATGTATAACTGATTAGAACAAATTTTAAAAAAGGAATTTTAAAGGAATTGCCTAATAATGTGACTCTGAAAACATGACCCACTGTTACAAGACAGTAGTATAATGAGAGAGTGGGCATGTCACACTCAAAAAAAACAAAACCAACTCAGCCGAATGGTATCTTTATCATGAGGTTAAGACACAAAAACAACGTGTTCAAAACCTCATTTGAGAAACTATGGACAACTCTGATTCTTCAGGGGTTGTCCTTCTGTGTGTAAATCCTTGAGAGCTATCCTCCCAGGAAAGAATTGATTATTCTTTATCATAATAGCAATGAGTCACCTTCAGGAAAAAAGAAGTTTCTTTTCACTGGAAAAGAAGTCTAAACTGATAAAAATTATGGAATGGTCCAACTTAGAAAATAAATCAGGCCTCATCTGATGCAAGTTCATGAACCCTGGCAAAGCTTTGGTTGAACCTGTCTGGGTTTCAGGTTTGTTTGACACTGAAACCAGGGAAGTCTCAGATTTTGTTACGAAAGTTTCACAAAGTTCTGCACATCAAACAGGAAATACTTGCTCCCCAACTATTGCTAAATCACATTTTTTCAGTCCTTGTGCCTGAGTTTCATTTGGCAGGTTGGATTCCATAATTTTCCAGACTGAAGTCTTTTCACATATTTTTACCTTATCATTGGGAACAGGAACAAATGAATTCTAATACATGCGATATATTTTCATGATAAGGTCTTCGATGACTCAGAAATTCACTCTTTCCCAAAGAAAGGTATAATGGCTGAGGTTTCTTCCTTTCAGACAGTTTTAAATAAAAGGTCAATTTTATTTAGTTTTTTCCCCATATTTATTAATCTAAAGTTTATCCACTCCCCAGCTCAAGGTAGTTATTTCTTAAGAGTTTTCTAAACATGGTGATGAGTTTTACACATTCTGGATTTTTCCCCTCTGCTGCTGGGGATCTATCACAGGGTCTCCAATGGGCTGGGGCAGGTCTCTACCACCAAGCTACATCGTCAGCCCACACTTTTGGTGTTTTGATAACTACCACACTGATAAGTTACCAAAATGTGGCAAAAGTGCTATGGTACATATTCTGATCTGATCAATAATCATGTGCTGTGTATGTCCACACACAAACTTTATTCTGATTTTATAATGATTTCCTTTTAAATCAATGAGAATGAACCGACAACCAAATCCCTGTGAACAGGTTTCATGATTATGTCAGGTGGGTCCCTAAATTCTCCTGGGTCACCAATTCCCTCTTTCTAGATAGGACGACAGGGAGGGAGAACAGGCTTCTGTGATCCAACAGCCCCCAGGAGGCACTTCTCCGACTGAGAACTCCATGGGAAATGTCCCATTCAGAGGCCCTCGAAAGCCAGAGGATAGTGTCTCTGTAAGAAAAGAGGAAAGTGTACAGCTACTTAGATACGTGCTAGGAGAATAGTCGACAAGCAAGGACACAATTGCTTTGATCAGGTTCCTTAAAGGAATTCTCTACATCATTAAAAATGTGCCAATATTCATGCATTTTTAAAATGATACATTCTAAAGATTTTTTATTTGTTGTTTTTAGTTATACATGACAGTAGATTGTATTTTGACATACCATATGTACATGGAGTATAACTTCTCATTTTTGTGGTTGTACATGACATGGAATTACACTGGTCCTGTATTCATATATGAACATAGGAAAGTTACCATTCTACCATCTTTCCCATTGCCATCCCCACTCCCTTTCCCCCATCCCCTCCCCATCAGGTGAACACCAACACCCACCTGCTCTGAGTCAGCATCCACATATCAGAGAGAACATTGGGCCTTTGGTTTGGGGGAAACTAGTTTGTTTCACTTAGCATGATATTCTCCGGTTCCATCCATTTCCTGGCAAACACCATAATTTCATTCTTCTTTAAGGCTGATTAATATTTCATTGTGTATATGTACCACCTTTTCTTTATCTATTCATCTATTGAAGGGCATCTGGGTTGATTCCATAACTTAGCTATTGTGAATTGAGCTGCTATGACACTGATGTGGCTGCGTCACTGTAGTATGCTGATTTTAAGTCTTTGGGGATATATGCTGAGGAGTGGGATAGCTGGGTCAAATGGTGGTTCCATTCCAAGTTTTCTGAGGAATCGCCATACTGTTTTCCAGAGTGGTGACACCAATTTGTAGTTCCACCAGCAATGCAAGAGCGTGCCTTTTCCTCCACATCCTCATCTATATTTGTTGTTACTTTTATTCTTGATAATTGCCATTCTCACTAAAGAATGAAATCTCAGTGTAGTTTTAATTTGCATTTCTATATAATCGTTGACCAGTTGAATTTCTTCTTTTCTGAAGTGTCTGTTCAGTTCTTTTGTCCATTTGTTGATTGGGTTATTTATTTATTTATTTGAGTGTTAAGTTTTTTGAGTTCTTTATATATCCTGGAGATTAATGCTCTATCAGAGGTGCAGGTGCAAAGATTCTCTTCCATTCTGTAGGCTCTCTCTTCACATTCTTGATTATTTCCTTTGCTCTGAAGAAGTTTTTTCGTTTGAATCCATCCCATTTATTGATTCTTGATTTACTTCTTGTGCTCTAGGAGACTTGAAGAAGTCAGTTCCTAAGCTGACATGGTGGAGAGCTGGGCCCACATTTTCTTCTAGTAGGCACAGGGTCTCTGGTCTAATTCTTAGGTCCTTGATCCACATTGAGTTGAGTTTTGTGCAGGGTGAGAGAAAGGGGTTCAATTTCATTCTGCTACCTATGGATTTTGAGTTTTCCCAGCACCATTTGCTGAAGAAGCTATCTTTTCTCCACTGTGTGTTAATGGCAACTTTGCCTAGGACTAGGTAACTATTTATATGGGTTTGTCTCTGTGCCTTCTATTCTGTTCTCTTGGTTTTCATGTCTGTTTTGGTGTAAATACCATGTTGTTTTTATTATTATAGCTCTGTGGTGTAATTTAAGGTCTGATATCGTGATGCCTCTGGCTTCACTTTTCTCACTGAGGATCGTTTTGGCTATTCTGGGTCTCTTATTTCCATTCCAAATGAATGTCATGACTGCTTTTTCTATTTCTATGAAGAATGTCATAGGAAACGTAACAGGAATTGCATTAAATCTGTATAACATTTTGGTATCCTAAAATTTTTATTGAAGGAAATATATTGATAGAAAGTGGACCATCTAAAGAATGATGCTCACCAACTTGCACAAAGCGAACACTCCTGTGACTGAGCCGTGAGAGCAGCAGAATGTCACCAGCGCTGTGGAAGGGTCCTTCTGCCCTCCACCCACAGTGCACCTCACTTGAAGCATGGCTGCTGATCTGATCCCTAACACCAGGTTGATTTGTCTGGTTTTGAAATGCACATTCATGGAATCACACAGCACAAACACTTTTGCACCTGATTTCTCTCCTGAGGTTACGGCTTTGAGATTCATCCACAGCATAAATGTGGAACAGTGTTTTCTTATTCTGGTCGTGGAACAGTGTTCCACAGTTTGTTCATCCACTCTGGGGACACTACCGTGCGTGGGCCTAGAACAGGATTGTGGTGGGATGAGACCTGTGTCTTACCCTAGGAGCCTCCGTCGTGGTTTCTTCCATTCTCACCAAGAGCTGTGGACATTCCTCCTGCTCCAGGCCCTCAGTGTGCAGATGTCATCTCCGCCACCTGGTAGGGAGAGAGCAGTCCTTCATTGTGTCCTTAACCTGTGCTCCTTTCCATGC